GGTTAACAATACCGGAAGTATACATGCAAAATACAAACCGATACAAACCAGTTCTGACAACTTTGACTTCAATAATTCAATTATCCACAAATTACCTTAATGGTATCCCTAAAATCCCCAATCTTAACACTGAAAGTCCCACACTTCTGTAAATTCGACATCGATTAATGAGGGTGGGAAAGGGGGGGGGGGTATGATTCACGTTTCACAACAAAAAAATACCGTTTCACAATTCACGTGCCATAAAAAAGCAATTTCACATTTCACGGATAACGAGACTCTAATAAAAATAATATAATAATAATAGCTTTAAGATTATGTTTAATGCATGATACAGTACTATGCTTTAAGTTCTCTTCTCTGCCTGGCAGTTAAAAACTACTTACAAGTTTGAGTGATGAGTACGTCCGACGATCTCCGAAAGGCCTCCGAAGTTTCTACTCTTGTGCAATCGAGTGAGATCGATCATATAAACTATTATCGCGTATTATGTCCATTATCACTATTATAAAATAGATCGGAATAAACAAATCAAAATCACAGTTCACGAAACAGACATCCTTAATTCCCATTTCACGGAGCATTTTTTGATCGACAATCACGCCTCACGGCTGTAGAACAAATCACAGATCATGACAGTAAAATCAAGCATTTCACACGATCAAATATTGACCATTCACGCAGGGGCTCAGCCCCCCCCCCCCCAATAGGCTGATGGACTGCCCTTGTAAAAAGATGAAATCCGGTATGCCCTCCCAAAAATTATAGTCTAGCTACGCCACTGCATTCACGGGTGACAAAAATACCCTTTCCCACCCGGCTCATTAATATCGCTCTCTGATTCTGAATAAAAATCGCAGTTTATAATACGTATTGGGAACACTGATACGATTGGGAACCGTGAGAATTTGTATATAGATGCCATTACGCCAATGCAAAATGGGTTACACACTTTAATACACTTGATCCAATTTTGATTGGGACTATGGTCTACATTTCGTAGACCCATAGCCCCGTATAAAATGGGCCAAGTATAAAATTGGCCAGGTATAAAATGGGCTGTGATAGTTATATCATAGAATAAGAAGGTATACCAGAAGTCTCACTCAAGCAAGTATTTGTCCGCTTTTTTACAAGCGAATCGTCCGATCATCAATCACGCCATCCTGGCTAGTACAACCGGCACTTTGTACCTATCAAAACCTGATAAAAACTTCCGGCTGTACTAGCCAGGATGGCGTGAGCGAGTTAAAATTTTCGTGGGTTACACTTCAAATTCTGCTATACTTTCCTATTTTGTGGTTATATGCTGTATATTCAAATACATTCTTCAACCGGAATATAACCATGCGTGGTTATTATTGTATTAACGCTATAGTAAAAATTTAAAAAAATATCGTGCACGTGGCAAGATTCGATAAAAAAAAATCGTGCGGAGTCGGTGAGGTCCAAAAAAAAAATCGACCACTCTCAAAAATGCGCCCCCCTCCCCCCCATGAAAAATCAAATGGTCCGTCCCTAACTAAGATTTCCGATTATACGCCACGCCTCCAAAAAACTTCTTATGCTAGGAGCGGTCATCTCATTGGACGATTCTAAATGTAATTGACGTTTGAGCAAGAATACTGGCAAAGGATTGGATAACTTTGATCTCTGACGTCACTTTCCTGTGATATTGCTCGAAACCAAATACCGTACCGTTTCGTTCCTGCGGGGAACGAAACAAAAAATGTAAAAAGTTAAAAAAGTTAGGGTTAGGGTTGGTGTTAGGTGCCGCGAATTTATTATTACGGATAAATTTAAAATGTGCCGCGAATTTATCATAATGATAAATTCGGACGTGTTTAAGAATGTACTCATATAGCTGGATTTATTAAGGCCGAGGGGCATTTCACTCCAAAAAAGCGTACGGGATTTTCGGATTTTTAAAAATCCGCGGATTTTTTAGCGGATTTTTCCCGGATTTTTTCGGCGGATTTTTGACTGAGAGAAAATCTGTTGGATTTTCCGGATTTGTTTGGATTTTCCGGATTTGTTCGGATTTTTTCCGGATTTTTTGACGAAGCTTACGGGATTTTCGGGTTTTTAAAAATCCGCGGATTTTTTAGCGGATTTTCCCCGGATTTTTAGCGGATTTTTGAAGAGAAAATCTGTTGGATTTTCCGGAATTGTTCGGATTTTTTCCGGATTTTTTGACGAAGTGTACGGGATTTTTGGAGTGAAATGCCCCTCGATTAAGGCCTGTTTTAATTAGACGTCGAATTTCCGTCGAATCTAATTCGTTTAATTCAACGCTACTGGGTTTGTTTTCTATAGAGAAACGGACGTCTTGAGTGCATGGTTTTATTTATTTGACTTTCTGAAATTCCGTTGCCGTAAAATTCAGAAGCATCAGCATATTATATATAGCAAATTAAATTCGACGGAAATTCGAATTCTAACGGCACAGTCGACCTTAATATAGCTAATCAATATTGAACCAAAACTTCTCGATCGAATCCATCATTAGTCAGCGGAATACTGAACCAAGTGTTTAATACTTTAATAACCCTTAGGGTGCTGAATTAATTTACAGAAAATCTTATTATTTAGTTTCACTGCGGTTTTTAAATTTTTTGAAGGGAATTTGAATACAAATATATATTTATTATATACCATTTGAAAGCCAAAAATATAAGCTTTCTGAATGTTAACACTAGAAGGCATCAAGAGGCTATCCGGGGGAGGGGGGGGGAGGGCCTGAACAGATTTAGTATGAATGGCCGACAAAGTGGTTTTTTCCATGTTTCATCCATGCTGTGTGGATGACAGAGGGTGGTGAGGTTCTACTTCCTAATGGCATACATGGACCATCACTCTAGCTTTCAAATGACACCAAATTTATGTAAATAGCATGAAAATTGCCAAAGATATGAAAATTTATTGCCGACAAACCATAATACATATATTACAAAGTAACAAATATTACTACGTAGCTTCAGTTTGAATAAACCGTTATTATGAACTATCACTGTAAATAGGCAGTCAATAAATGCAACCAACACCAATGCAGCTTTTGGTTGTATGAACATTGTAAACATGCAACAAGTAAAACTTGAAATTGATTGAATATCCAAGACATAATACCTCTTGAATAGTCTCATTGATAGAAACCGAGTCTTTGAAGCATAGATCAAGATTTTCCAGTGAAGTGGGTTCAAAATTATCATCACTTGACTTGTTTATATTCCTGAGGATGAACATTCATTCGAACTAGAATCGTTATTTGGCTGGTTTTCTTCGCCTAGTACTGAAAGAACCTCATTTATTGCAAGAAAACCTCTTTTGGAAGCCATGTTGCAATTAAATGATATTTGTTCATGCGTCATGCAATATTGAACTGAAAACTGATTGTACAGGTTTGTGCCTGCATGTGATAATCGGCCATAGTATACTTTTTCGTGATTTATTAAGGCCTGTTTTAATTAGACGTCGAATTTCCGTCGAATATAATTCGTTTAATTCAACAATGCTACGATAAATTCATAATGATAACTATGATAAATTCGGACGTGTTTAAGAATTTACTCATATAGTGCCGGAATTCAAAGGTGGATCTCATGTTGAATATTAAATCACGAAAAAATATGGCCGATTATCACCAGGCACAAACGTTTGACTTTGCACTATTTCAACGTACCAGTTTAAATTGAGGAGTTTACATGCACATTCGGAATATCGTACTCGTTGTGCACGCAACCCGACTTTCTACCCGAAGGTAAAGTGAGGGGCCTGTACCAGTTCTGCGGGATGCGTCTAAAATTCAAGTCATGATTCGGGATTTTGAGTTCAAAATTCATGATTCGGGATTTTAAGAGAAATATTGGCGGGAAGCGGGATTTTATTCGATCGCGATATGCGGGGAAGTAATCCACGATTAGATAAATCAACAATGTGGATTGTGCATGTGCTCGCTGGAAATTTGCTGTTTTCAAGGATGATATCGAACATTTGTCCATCATGCAGCAATTACCTCTCATTTACATGCATGACTGAGGCTTTCGTAAGATCGAGTCGCGATTTAGAGTCATTTATTATTTTAAACTTTGTTGTATTCGGCATGTATTCTAGCGGTGCATTCAAATTGTATTCTATGTCGCTACCATGTCTTTGCCGAATACTTGGTTATCCTTTGTCTACATCTAAATCATACGTTGAACAGTGTTAGAAAAAAATGTTGGGAGTCGGGAAATTGGGGTGAGGCATGGCGGGATAACGGGATTTGAAGTGAAAATCGATCGCCGATCGGGCCAAGTCTGTTTGCGATTCAGCGAACAAACTCGATTTTACATCGCCCTTAACTATTTGCATCCATATAGTCATTCTATATATATACTCAACTGCATATGATTGTCTCAGCCGCGGCATGCTAGCTGCTCGGTACCCCCTCAATTGACTAATCTCGTCAATAAACTCAATGAGTAATCAATAATTCGAACGAACTGTATTGCTGATAAACTGTCATAGTACTAGTCTTACAGCTTAATTAGAAAAGACTAGAATTAATTTCTTTTAGGTTATATTACGAATGTCGAAGAAGTGGGGAGACGAGACTCCCCCCTCCCCCGTCTCCCGTTCTTGCGAAATCTCTGGATTGAAAGGATGATTTAGATTTTAGAGAAACACGTCTGTACAGTTTCACCACTTTAATTTCAGTGAATAATATTTTGATAGACAACTTGCTATACGTCCTTGTTTTCGCCTGCCATTACTTTGAAAACAATTGACGAAAACCAGCGCGGAATTTCTCGCTGAAAAAACTGTAAATTATTGGATTGATGGTGCTTGGAATAAAAGCGAGTATTCTCAGCAATGAATCGGCGAGTTTAACTGCAACACTTTGCACTTCACTGACTTCAGGCATGTATGCCAAGATTAGATGAAGTATAGTGAATGGCCATCCGCATACTACGAACACGACGGGCACTATAACTAACATGATAATGGTTTTGCGTTGATTTTTAGTCACAGATTCATTTCGTTGGCTCACTGTCGCATTTGTCTCCCTTAGTTCTTTCCCTCGGCTACGAAGCTTCATAATGATCTGCGTATACAAGTAAAACACAAGCACAAATGGAAATACATTATACAGTAGAAATATAGCAATCAAGTAGTATTTGTGTTTATTGTCATCTAGCCTGGAATAGGCAGTACTTATTCCTCCACTTGTTTCGTTGAGTAGCGCGTGTTTAGTTCTAAACACAGCGACAGTATTCCTGACGATGAGTTGACTTAATGCGCACGACCAAATGACGATCAAGGACATCGCGACTGTAATTTTCTTATTTTGCGTCATCTGCTTCAGTGGGTGTACTATGGCAAAGTATCTGTAAAGAAAACCAACCAAGGTAAAAACCCACAGATCTTTATTTTTGAAGCTATTCGACTGCATTTCTGTAGTCAATTTGCAAACGAAATGCGCCAAAACGACTTAGCAATGACTATCCATATTTTATAATTTACACACAGGGAGATTTTAAGCCCAGAAGTATCACTTTGTATAACGTGAGGAATTGTGCTAACCAGCATGTGAAACTCAAAGTCAAGAAAATAGTTCTCCATCGTAAATCTCTTTTCCACTCATCGCAAAAACTGACTCGCAAGCTCGCTGCGAATACTTTCATCCAATCACAGTGCTCGACAGTTTATTTCACTATTAGATACAAGTACTGGCTGCGGGCTTGCGAGTTGGTTTTACGGTGAGTTAAAAGGAACCTTTAGCCTAAGAACTGTACACAAAGGGTATCTTTGCTCAATCAAGCGATTTATTTAAAGCGTTGTATTATTTGCAAATATGTGACATTCAACCTTAATTGAAATAATTCATATAATTATACTCATTCGAATCAACCTGGTTCCCAGGTTCTTACTTCTTGTGGAGGAAAGACCCTGGTAGGAGCTGGTCTGCTAACTGATCTAGTAGATTTTTAATTCGGATGATCGGATAAATATTTGACTGATATTTATACTGTAATTTATAACTTGCATTTTGTTTGGCAAGTTTGATTTGATTTTAGGAATGGTCATTATTTATAGGGTGGTTGGGAAATGGGGATAAGGATTGAAAACTTTTTTGACCCCCCCCCCCTTCCAGATTGAAGGCAAACTTTTTGCCCCACCCCCCTGGATTGGAAAGTAACAGCAATGAAACAGGTGTGTATTGCAGGTAAAGTTACATGTTAGGTCAATCTGTTTAACCTACAATCTAGTGCAGAAATTATTGAGTCAACTAATTGGTCATTGCCCCCCTTCCCCACAAACAATGTTGGACAAACGATACAAAGGTGTATTGTCAGGTTAAATTAATAAATTTTTTTTCAACATTGTATATATATATATATATATATATATATATATATATATATATATATATATATATATATATATATATATATATATATATATATATATATATATATATATATATATCATAATGTTTATATATATATATCATGATGTTATATTCCATATAAATCATAATGTTCAACTAAAGGGGATTTGCAATTATAAATAACAGAACTTTCCGATCCCCTATTATAAGGATAAAACTTTGTTCGCCCCCCCCCCCCTCCCATTTACCAACTCCTTCCCCCATAAATTATGACAACAAAAGGAATCCAAGATAGTTAATTAGAAATCTGCTAGGTTTTAGCAGATCACGTGACCAGCTCCTACCAGGGTCTTTCCTCCACAAGAGGTAAGAGCCTGGGGACGAGGTTGCATGCGAATCATTGAGACTTAATTAACATTTTACCTTTCTATTGCTATGGTCACCACTGTAAATACTGAAACAACAGAACAGAAAATTACGACACCAGCACAAATTTTCGGGAAAATATCTCCTGGTTGAAAACTGCCACTGCCTATTTCCTGCAGAAGTAGAGCTGGCGTTGAAAAAACAATCAGCATAGTGTCAGAAAGGGATAAATGGGCAATCAAGACATCGGTAACATTGCGCATAGTATTGTTTCTTATTACCACAAGAAGAACCATAAAGTTCCCTGAAATGTAGATCAATATCAAAGTTACATGTTCCAGAGTAATGGCAAACTGAGCTGGCTCTGGCAGGTTTGTCAATTTTGGGCTAATCTCGTACCCAGTAACCCAGAGCCATCGTTGAGCTTCAACGATGGCTCTGGGTACGAGATTGACGTTTACGCAGTAAATATACCGAATGCAATGCATTATCGTGTCAGTAGACTGCGAGCAATCCCTCTATTTTCCGTGAAACTATAAAACGAAGGAAAATAGAAGCTCGCAGTCTGTCATGTCAGTGGGTCAAGTACAAGAGCTCGAAATGCATGCATATTAGAGGTGTGCATCGGATCGGATTGGACGTTTATAATCCGACAATTGGCTAATGTTTAAAATCCGATCCAAAATTGTCTAATCTGAATCCGAGTTGTGATAAAGAATTCCAATCCGATCCGATCCGAAGAACCTTTAACAAAATAAATTTCTCATTCAAGTTGAAATGTTTAACCAAATAAATATAAAAACAAGAAATACATGTCAAGAAGCTGACAAACTGACGTCCAATTGAAGTATATCAAACGAATTAAAAATGCAGCGGCAACCGCGATGTTGCTTTGATAAATGCATGGATAATTAATTCTTGCAATAATGCGTGGATAATTAATTCATTTTATTTCGAATATCGAAGTCCGATCCGACTACGAAACAACTTTATCAATCCGATCCGAAATGTATATTTTTGTTCCGAAATCCGAAATAATCGGATCGGATTCGGATCGGATTTGCACACCTCTAATGCATATCATCTGATTCAGTTGGTTGTATAAAGTAAACAGGTAGTCGTTAATTGAAGTTAACTACAGTTTATTAACCATGCAATCAGAATTGCATTTTTTAGAGTTAACTATATATACTATTCCACAACTATGCACAAAATAGTATAATTGAAAAAGTATATATATATATAGTTAAACATAACAGACCCCACCAAAACTGATTATGAAACATAGTATACATCGACTGCAGTATATTTGAAGGATTTTTGCCGCCGCCTTTATCTTTTTCTTCACGTTCTTTCAGGTGTCCAATTAATGATTAAATGTCACTGTCATCCTCATGCGTTTCAACTGCAGGTTTTGCAATACAAACCTGAAAACTTTTATTGATGTCTAAACTTACCTATGAGTCCGGCTATTGCTAACACGCCGTAAACAAAACAGTAACTGATCATCTTGCCGTATGTGCTATCGATATAAATAATGTTCCGTGGAGTTCACCGTTGCTGGATGTCACATGATTACAATGAATTCGAATAAACTAAAAATCATGACTAAGTATTAGTCACGCAGTGAAACTTTGTTTATTTCAATCTGAAGTGTTTGGTTTAATGTTTTAAGACAGGAAAAGTGATAAAATTGCGGGTGGAAGCAGAATATTTTTTCTAATTACTATTTTAATATTCCTACTTGAAATATTCATATATATTTATCAATATTCAGCTGTCAGCCCCGGATATAGAAGATCGACCATGATTTGGGTTGGGTTGGAATCTAGTAACGGTTTGTCAATTCTAAAATACTACCGCTCATTATTTATCGGCCAGGAATTTAAGAACAAGAAAATGTTTGGCACATGTTGAAATTATTTTTCAGGACGAAACGATCGCAGACTTGACAACGTTTTGAGTAAACAAAAATTGTAAATCTACTTTTGAAGGACGAAAACTTATAAGTATAAAATGTTATAATATTCTCTTTTTCAATAGATCACAAGGAAATTTCTAACATGAAAATATGAAAAAGGTCCCTAATCTATAGAATTTAGCTTGCGTCTTGAATATTTAATTTAATCTTAATAAATACAACAATCTATAGACCTCAAATTTAACACAATATTAAATGTTTTTAAATTCGATCGAAACATTAAGTACGCAAGTTTATCTCATCTTACTCAAGAAATCAAGGTGCTTATTCTTCTTACCATTTATGTCCATTATATCCTTATCCACACCAACGCACGTTTAAAATAAAAAAATATTGGACGATTAAAAATTTGAACGTAAGTCATATCAGACAAGATATATTTAGTTATATCTTTATTAAAAACTTTAATATGATGTTATAGTGACATGATTCACCTGCACATTATTCTATATGTATTAATTAATATACATGCATGTTTGACTGAAAACAGTGGCTGTCCGCGTGTAATAGATCCATATAATTACTGACGGTCATAATAACCTATTGTTTTCTCTCTGCATTATATCATCGAATGTCGAGAAGTTTTAGCGTTCTTCTGAAAAACGGGAGCGGTCTTTTTTGATTGTAGGGAAATTCCCAGGGGTAAATGTTTATACGGGCTAAAATAGCACAAAGCATTATTAAAAATAATGCAGCGTGCACACAGCATTATTAAAAATAATGCAGCGTGCACACAGCATTATTAAAAATAATGCAGCGTGCACACAGCATTATTAAAAATAATGCAGCGTGTCGCAATCCTTCGTCATCCTGACAAGTGCACGCGATAACGTGAACATCTCAAGATGAGAAGTTGACAGTGCTAAAGGCCCCTCATACAATATCACAGGGCCGTAGCAACCGGGGGGCTGGGGGGGGGCTGCAGCCCCCCCAATAATTTGCTAATAATCATTCTTTTTTCAAAATCATGCAAACTTTATCATTTAATCTGTGACAAACTGCAAAGAATGAAGATATTACTCATACTCCAGATCGTTCCTCGCGTAGAAATTTTAGCTGAATTTCTGTCGCGCATTTTCAAGAAAATCCCACAAAATCTGCACATTTTTGATGAACTAATGATTTATTTTGTCTTTTGCGTGTTGGGTCTTGCGAAAGAAAACTCTGAAAATGCCATTTCAGACCATCTAGAGACTCCAGATTTTCGAAATTTTCTCAAATGTTCTGCCTTCATTTCCGCGCAACTGCCATTTACGACGAAAATTCCCGCAGCGCATTTATAATACTACAGTCTGGCCCATACTTTCCTGTAAATTTCGACATACTAAAACGCTGTTTTCTGACTATCAGAATTCTGTTAAATCTTCCCCCAAAGTCCAGGAAATGGCATTTTAGAGACTCTAAATTTAAAAATTTCCTCGGGCCTTCGGCCCTCGCTTTCAGCCCCCCCAATCGAAAAGAACTTCCTACAGCCCTGTATCATCGGGCGCCTGAAGCACTGCCAAAACGGTCGCTGTGAGTCCTTTCAGCTCAACTTCATAGACAAATAGTTTCGTTTGCGCTTGTGGGATTTTATCCTAGATATACGCATGTGCAGAATATATCGAATAATGGCCTCAGTAATTATCTATTAAGTAATTCCTAAAAGGAATTTAAGAGATGGAAGATCGAGATGGAGATTGAAATTATTCTATAGATGATATGGTATCAAATTTAAACTGATTTTGGTACCCAAAACTACATATAACAATAGACCTTTACATAACCAATGATGTAAGTCTATTCTCGTTCGTGATTGGTCAAAACGCGTCGGATAATTATCGCTATCTTGCTCTCAGCTGCGCATGCGCAGGCTAACCACAAAAATGTTTTCTTGGTTAGTAAACTACTCTACAGCACTTTTTATATAGAATTTCAATACTAACATAGTTTGGATAGTATTTCAAGAAAAATACGAGGTATTTCGTCATTTAATCAAAGACAACAAATATAAAACAATAAAATTACATATTTATGTCTCTTTTTATCTAACAAAAACAGAAATTTTCAGGGAAACGTTAGCAGCTTTACGCCTTTAGTTGTATTTTTTATTTAGGATGGTGTCAAATTCCTCCTGGCTATCTGCAAATAAAATTTGCAGCTCTTCACATAGTCAAAACACAACTATTCCTGACTGCTTTAATAGTTATAAACATTTTAAAATATACCTTTAATAATAAATATACCTATAATAAATCTCGACTTTCGCTAACAAAAACGTATTGAGAAAGTTCTTTAACCACGGTAGTTGCTCCTTTTCTTTATTTTCGGTTTATTTTTCTTCGTTTTGAAAGACTTTCAGACACTTTTTGCCGTTTGAAACTCGGCTCTCGTCGCAGAGCAATAAAAATTGCGTATTGCCCGTGGGCAATAAATGATGTTTTTTCATTGGGAAAAACATGAAATTCATCAAATGATGTTTTTTTTTCATCAAATGATGAAAGTTCATCGAATGATCTTTTTTCATTGGACAATTTGAATTTGAGGTATAATATATCATTTATAGACCCTCCGCTCGGGAGATTCGTCGGAACATTACCCTCAGTGATGATATTTCCCTCGGGGCAAAGCCCCTATATCATCACTTCGGGTAATATTCCGCCGAATGCCCCTCGCTCCGGGTCTATAAATGATAAATATACGTATAAATTATAACAGTATATAGTTTGTGCAATGCATGGTATTTAATTTATTAATTTTTACATTAATATGATCAGTATGTTTACATATTAAATTATATATAATTCATAAAATAAATAGATTTAGTTTGGATTGTAATTCAATATTTCATCAATCCAACCTTGACCTTGTATAGACTATTTAGAAGACATGTCATCTGGATTATCTATGATGCAACAGAGGTTTTTAAAACTTTTCTAGCTATAACATATTCTTGTTGCCGAACAATATTACCAATAATTCAAACTAATATCTTGAAGACAAGAAAACTAGGATTGTTAGCAATAAGAGAACAACAACTGAAGCTTTGTTTGATGACGATGCATTTCCTGCAGCTTCCTGAAATAAAAACAGTAAAGGCTGGAAATGGCTGAAAATGTTAAACGTCAACATTATAAGTATAACAAGAATCACGTTCGATTTAAAGTCGGGACTATAAGATTTACCAAAAAAGTTAATTTTGAAATATTCTTCGATATCTTTCCTTCATTCATCTTGATCTTATCATAAGTCCACTTAATTAAATCGAACCATATAATTATATTCAACTTCATTTATCGAAATTATATCGAAACGCTATAAATCTAAACGCTCTTTCTACCTTCCATGATCGAATAAATGGAAGCGTTTAGCTCGTACAAAGTAAATATGTAATTCAGAACTTTGTGGAAGATTTCTACCCTCGAGACGTTTTAACTAGACCTCCTGACGAAGAACCTTTGCTTGAAACGTCGAGATGTTCATCTTTTTTCTGTTTAGATTGAGTAGCTGTCAGTTTAATCTTCCACAAAGTTTTGTGTGCATGTCGCAGCTAACCGCTGGACCCCCACAGTTTTACAGACCCCCTCCACTCGAATTTAGTTTCTCTAATTGAATCGTAACAAGAATCCTCTTGCCTGATTCATCACAAATTTTCAAGGTTGGCAGCATAGGTCCAAGTAAGTCATATTAGGCTACTTGAATAAAATGATGTGAATATAACAATGCCAAAATACAATTGTTGTTTGCAGCAAGTATGGTCTCATCATAGCATTCTCAAATCGATCGCGTTTTGAAATTTGCAAAAGAAGAAAGAAAGAACGAGTCATTAAACTCCAGTTACCATTTTGTAGAAGCCGTGAACAAAACAGTAGAACAGTTTGCAGTTGTTTTTGCAAATGGGCACCGTGCGAATTTTGCCATTTGTTGTGCTTCGACTTTTACCAAATCAAAAGAACGAACGCGTGCTCCAGCCCGATTTTCGGTTCTGAAAGGCCCGATTCGCAGATGACTTACAGATGTTGCTTCGCAACATGAACTAACATCTGTGACTGTGACTCAAAAAACACGCGTCAGTGCGCAAAATGTCCTTCTCACTAACTCCGCAGGTTCTTATTTCTTGTCACATACCAGTGGCATATACATCAATGATTGGGAAAGACTCTGTACATTGACATGCATCGATCCCGTCCATCCTCCCCCCCCCCCCCCCCCCCCC